GCTCACCGCCTCGTAGAGAGTCCGCAGGAAGTTGATCTCCTCTGCCAGCGAGTCTGCCTTGCCCTGCAGCTCCACCTTGTTCATGTAGGCGCCGTCCACGTCCTAAGGGAAGGAAACCCAGGGATTTCTGGTGAAATCCAGGAGCCAGAGGGGAGTGAGGACAGCAGGGACCCTGCTTCCAGGTCTGTTACTCATGGAACCGTGGAATCGTGGGATGGTTTGGGTTGGAAGAGACCATAAAGAGCATCTCGTTCCAACCTCTATCCCACCATCCCAGGGGGATCCAACCTGGCCTTGGACACTTCCAGGGATGGGGCATCCTCTGGGAAATCCATTCCAGGGCCTCCCCACCCTCCTAGCAAGGAATTCCTTCCCCAAATCCCACCTAAATACCCTCTTTCCCAGTGGGAAGCCATTCCCTGTGTCTGTCCCTCCATCCCTTGTCCCCAGTCCCTCTCCAGCTCTCCTGGAGCCCCTTCTCCAAGGTCTCCCTGGATCCTTCTCCAAGCCAGTGGGGGTGGGATGGGATGGGATGGGATGGGATGGGATGGGATGAGTGTGTGTTCCCCTGGAGAAGGGAAGGCTCCAGGGAGACCTTGGAGCCCCTTCCAGAGCCTGAAGGGGCTCCAGGAGAGCTGGAGAGGGACTGGGGACAAGGGCTGGAGGGACAGCACAGGGGAGAAGGGTCGGCTGGAGGACCCCAACCCCCACCAGCTTCTCTGGGTGCATCAATTCCCTTTTGATTCCCACAATTCCCTTTTGATTCCCACAATTCCCTTTTGATTCCCACAATTCCCGGCTCCCTCACCTTCTTGAGCACCACGAACTCGTTCTCGGCCCCCGTGCGCCGGTTGATCTCATCCTCATATCTGCCAGGACGAAAGGGAGGGGGAGGCTCGTGGTGGGACCCGGGAGCCGGACCCGCCCCGCTCCCAGAGCCTCAGTTGTGGCTCCCGGCCGGGTTCCACCCTCCCACCCGGCTTCCATCCTCCCACCCGCTCATCCCGAGCCGACTCGGGGCGAATATTGCTGCCTTTGAACCTCCAGCCTGTGAGTGGGCCCGGCTCAAACGAAGCCCTTTCGGTGGCCGCCCAAAAAGCCGAGCTCCCACGCGGATGCGCCCGGTCGGGCAGGAAGCGGGAGCTGCTCTCCCGGGTGACCTCTGCCCCGAGCAAAGTTATGCAAAAGAAGGGCTTTCAACAAAGCCTGCGAAGGCATAATGAGGGAGCCCTTTGCTGTTTGATATTGTAATGACGCCGACGGCTCTGAATCAGCGTTTAATTAAACATGAAACGGCGGGGTTGGGCAAGAGGAGGATCGGCCCGGGGTTCTGGGGAGCTTTTCGTGGCTCTGAGCAACGTCCTCTCATCAGATAACCGGGGCAGGGCCGGGCTGGAGAGCAGACGGAACACGAGGGCTCTCCAGGCAAAGGCCTGGATTTCAGGGGCAGGTTCGTGCCAGTCCCCAAACCAATATTGGTGAGGGTTCCCTGGGGCAGGAGCTCGGAGCAGGCACGGGAAGGAGCCGGTGGAAGGGGAACTCTGGGCTTGAGTAACTCCAGACTTGAAATAAAGTGTGTTCTCCTTCCCAGGTGGCAGCTCAGACATGTGGGAACCAACCTAGACCTGAAATCCAACCTGTTCCTAGAGCTGAAATCCAACCTGTTCCCTCTTTTCTCCTTCCCAGGTGGCAGCTCAGACATGTGGGAACCAACCCTAGACCCGAAATCCAACCTGTTCCTAGAGCTGAAATCCAACCTGTTCCCTCTTTTCTCCTTCCCAGGTGGCAG